GGAAACTCGACGGTTTCAGTTGGTGTCCGACTTCCCCGACCCAACCTGAAGGCGCATCGACTCGAGTTCTTCCGTTGCTATGGCAACGGTGGGCAGCCGGAATGAAAAAGTGGCAAGCTGACCGCAACATCTGTCATTTTCCAATATGTTCCAATGCATATGGGAAATTAAAAAAATTGTTTAAAAATTTTTTTTAAAAAGATGGAGATTGTCTACGTGAGAAATCTCGGTTTTGTCCGTTCATTCCTTCAAATTTGTAACTCGGAGCCCACTAATTAGCTTATTGATTTGATGTTTTCTTGCATTCCATAAATCATTGCATTAATTCATAGAGTTTTCCAATCTGGTTGGCAGCCCGATCAGAAAGCGAAACTCACGAATTTCATCGTTCAGGCTGACGCAAGCAAGTCGAGACGAAACTCACGGCAGAAGCAGCCGCCGCAGAGGGAAGAACGGGAATGAAGGGGAGCCAGCCCAAGCGGGAATTCCCCAAATGAATGTGGATGGCCTCCAAGGTTTTGTTTTGGTTTCCCGTTTCCTCGGCCTTGAGCGAGACGGTTTTCCCCGGTCAAAGGCTCCTCCGACCTTGAAATGAAAAATGAGCCGCAGGTTCAATTACCCGGCGGAAATCATCGGCTCTCTCCTTCGTTCAAGTTCTGGATGCAACAAACGCCAATTATGGAGTAAAATTAGTTCATTAGGCAAATTTCTCTGTTAGTCTTCTAAAATACTCAACTAATGCGATTTGTTTCAGTCAAATTGATCTTCAGCCGTTGCCAAAAAAGCAACAGTAAGAATGGGTCTCGATGGAAATTTCATTCACAAACTCGTGTCAGCGTGCCGTGAAATTGACCAAGCGCTTTAATTCAAATGGAGACGGGGAGATGGTACAACCTTCTCAAAACGAAAATCAAATAAGGGCATATTAATAAAATGCAAAACGGGGACAATTAATGACGTATAAGAAAATTGTTTCAAAAGTTTCAAAAGGGGGAAGGAACGGCATGACGTTGTTCTAATTTTCAAAATTGTTCTAATGTTCAAAATTGTTCTAATCCGAAATTATTTTTTTTGTTCGTATATAGAAATTGATTCCCCGAGGATTTCCTTCAATAACTTCGCAGCCTTTCGATCTCATTAAAGAGGCCCCGAGGGTCGCTCTTTGGGCGACCCTCGGGGCCCGCAAGAGACTTTGGGTAACGCTGAACTTAAATGCTTCAAACTTTCCTCCATGAATTTCAGCAAAATTTTCGACGCGAGGAAGAGAGCGGCAAAGCGACTCCGAACACCCAAAAATCCCCCCTTGCCCCCACAAAATGTGGGGAGGTTCCCCCCTTGCCCCCACAAAAAGTGGAGGGGGGGGCTTCCTACGGATATTCGAGAGGGCAAAAGTAATTAGGATGGTTTTATTTTCGTCAGCGTAGAAGAGTATTTGCCAGTTTTGTACAGATTAAATACCTGTACATAAAATTTGGCCCAATTCCGCTCTAGCGAAAATTGTCGGAAAACTTTCGCCAGAGCAGTAAATGTTGGCAGGCTCCTATACGTGGGAATACACGTATTCGGGGACGTCAGTTCATTTTCTATATCTGTCGGATTAGAAGAAAACGTATGCTTTGATGTAGAGGAATGAGTCTTAAGTTCAGCATTCCGCATTTTAGCTTGACCGATTCCCGAGCCCCGTGAAATTAGCGTCATCCACACAGCAAAGCAGAAACGTACAGTCAGGTACACATTTTGTACGTTATGAGGTACAAACGTCGTAAAATACGTTCGTTGAAAAGGTACAGAAGGTACACATGTGTACCTTTCTTATCTCTATTCACATCGGGCTTAAGGGGTTTCAAAAACCGGTTCTAGACCTCAATTGAACTGCACTGAGAACCCGGACATCTGCGTCAGCAACGTACACGTGTGTACGTCTGGACCACACGTGCAGACCCGAGGGACACAATATGTACCTCTCACATTTGTACCTCTCCTTGTACGTTTCTACTTTGCTGTGCAGTTTCGGAGTCGGCATGTAAGAAAAATATTTTCCGCTGGAAAAAATGTTTTCCTTTACAATTGTCAATTTTCTCATGCTTCAGAACGCAAACTTTCTGCGCTTGCATTGGCAGGTTCGGACGATAATGTGTCGAAAAATATATTCGTCAATGCTCTTCTGCCTTTTCTTTCCTATTCCCCCCCCCCCCTCCTCGCAAATAATATTGTTAGGGGGCATGCGCGCTTCTTTGCCCTGATGGGTTCGGCGTCCATCGACGAGACATATTAATTATATATCTACTATGTCTCCATGGTCGTCCGAAGTCTCAAACTTTAAGCCGAAACCTAGGCTTCGGGATTAAGGAAAGATTTCGGACTTCGGAAGAGAATGAAATTGAGATGAACAAAATTTTTCCTCTCAGAATCGTCACTGTACCAGAAACATTTAAGAGCCCATCTGCTGTTGTGCAAGGTAAATAGGGTTGCCGGTTTAGAATGTAACGTTGAGAAATATTTAACCACTTCTTCGTTTCGAGCTGCTGTTGCAACGTGCGATTGCGCGGGGATCCTATTATTTAATCGTGCCTCACGTCTAGGCAAAATCAGAACTAGAGTACCTGCTCGGCAGTGACGTAGCCAGGAATTAATTTCGGTGTCTCGTAAGGCTCTTTCGGGCTCATGAGATGACGAAGTGGCCTAGGAAGGTTGGGAGGAATGAGAGAGACTTCAACTCCAGCCACCTCATAGTTCAAAATACTGTAGTTCACTTCTCTTCCCCAATTTTTATTTATTTATTAAAAGAGGTATGGGTCAAGGACTGACCTTGAATTAGTCATAATATAGTGGGTGAAAGCTACTCCTGAATCATGGTTTGCTACTGGAACTAAAAAAACTGGATGAGCAATGAAAGCAAAATGACGGGGGGGGGGGGCACTGTACCTATTAAGAGTGTTTGTACTCAGAAGGTGGAATAGGAATGCAAGTCGAAACTTCAGTTGTAAATGTGAAACTTTTCACACCCCCCCCCCCCACTCCCATACTCCTTGTTTCCATGAAACCATATCTTGCTTCTTTTCGGGGGGTGTCCAGTCACCCAGGACACCCTCCCCATCCTTGGCTACGTCCATGCTGCTCAGATACATAACTGCTAATCCTCTGGCAGCTAAAACTCCGGAGTTATTTCCCTCTGCCACGTCATAACTATTCAGCTTTTTCAGAACTGAAGTTGTCATTTGTACTTCCAAGGCCTATGAGAATAGTCCCACAAAAATCGAGGATGTCTTGCATCGTTCAAACGTTCGCGTCGCGTGGAGATTGGAGGACAGTATGAAGTGCAGGATGCCAGATGCGGCACTTCACGCGTACGCTTAGCAGCCCTGTCTACGCGGCCACGAGCAGCCGCTCTCTCCCGTTGTCTAGTATGGACCCGTCATCCGTGAAGTCTGGAAGGGAAGTGGATGTTTTCGTGGAAGACGAGCACCCCGACTCAGGCGGAATGCTGCACATGCGCAGTGAGTCTTGTTGTCCTGTCGCTATGGTTACTGCGGACAGACGGGAAAAAAAAAATAAAGAAAAAAAAACCGACCTGCCCTGACCTATCTGCCATTTCCCCATAGTACCAATGGGAATGGCAGATAAAAAGTGACTGGTCAATCGTAATGTCTGTCATTTTCCAATAGGTCCCAATTAGAATGGGAGATAATGAAAATATGCATGAATGTTTCCTGTGAGCGGTTGTGCTTCTACATCAGCAGCGCCGGCTGTGTCCGTTCATTCCTTCAAGTTTGTAAATGGGAGCCCACCAATTAGCTAATTGACTTGACGTCTTCATGCAACTATGCGCATCCTTACTGCTATGCAACCAGGCGAGCCAGTAGCACTCCTCGAACTCTTTAATCAGGCGGCTAAATATATATTGTATGCATCACCATGCATACAAGGCAAATTAGGACCAATGACTTGGAGTTGCTGGATCACAGGACCGCTTTGATTCAATGTCACCAATTATATTGCGAATATAGCTTGCCTTCATTCTTTTCAAGTTGATAAGGTTGTATGATATTTTGCATTGACGCAAGACTTCAGTTGGTTTTTTCCCGAGTTTGATTAGAAATTTCATGTTGATTCTTTGTTCAATTATTTTATCACCCATTTTTTGACAAGTGGTACTGCTCTGCAATCAGTAGAAGTATCACGACAAGTTTGTTACTGCACAGACTTAAAGACATGCACTGACAGTTTACAGTAATCGCCAGTAACCCAGTGTTGCCACAAGCATTACAGTGTTGTCAGTCTCGTTGTTTTATTGCCAGACCTCGTACAAACTGGATTTTGACTCCTTGCTTTCCTTTCCCCCATATCTATCGGGAACACTGGGTCGTTGGGAGACTTGGTCTTCTCGTAGAGCTCCAACAGATAATCATTGAACTGGGCTTCCCCTTTGCCCATTATCACGGATTTGAAGGCGGGTTAATTAGACGAGAACTAGAACGTTCTCTCACACTTGCATCGCACCGAAAAAAGGTGAAAGAATAAGGCTGTTGGTGAAAGCGAAAGGATAATTCTCGAAAAAATTCGTCTAACTGTATATCCTTGAGGTCTAGATATCCCTCCTGAACTTGCACAAAAGTTCATCGTAACTTGCATAAGAAAGAATGCATGAAAGTTAACATGCATGAGGAAAATCAGACGGGTAATGTAAACTTGCAACACATACGCCGATACCGCAGCAGTAATTTAATTGGAATGGATCTTTCCCCTTACTACTGCTGCTTTTCACGAAAAGAAAAAAAGCCTTTTTCTCCCCAGAAAGATCATGAAGCGATAGGATCGCCTCTTTCTCTGTTCGAGCTGATACATCTCCGAATTGCATCCGCTTGGAAGATACATAAAATAAACCATTATCTAATTTCGGCGTTTTCTTCGCAACTCATTTTCGTCTCGTGGATCGAGCCCCTCCCTTGAAGATGGGGAGTTAAAACACTCGACGGAAAGGAACGAACGAAATGTTCGAAGGCCTTCATTTAACACTTCATCGCTGTTCACAGCCGCCGAAACAATGCAAAACTTGGTAGCAATCTGAACTGCGACCAGAAATTTGATTGTCGGCGCGGCTAACGGAAGCCGTAGTGCATTAAGGGGTCATCGTCATCGTCGTAACGGCGGCGGAAGCCACCCCAACCCCGACGCCTACCCCAACCGCGTCTCCAGCCGTAGTTGGGCCAAAAGTAACCTGGAAAGGAGAAACGGGAAGTCTTAATGAATACAGTATTTTCCACCCCCAAAAATGATTATTTTTTTATTCAAACCAAAACAGGGATGATGGCGAATAATTCAAAATAAAAAGGAACGCTAAATGAACTGAGCTGAGTATTTTGATATTTTCGTTTCTTTTTTGGATTGCAATGCCATTCATTGCCATCCACAATGTGGTTAAGAAGCTTCTTTTCCTATAAGGCCCAAGAGAAAATTTTAGTTTTCGAGATAATGGCTTCTCCCAAGGAAATAACGGTCCTTTTGTTTTTTGTTGTTGCCCACAATCACCTACGCAATTGCAATTAAATCATTATAAAGCCATGGAAAAGATGGGAATTTGATACTGTTGAAAACCCGACTGCCATTTCTGTGCGAAGGTTCGGCACACAAAATATGCTTTTAGGACAGTATTCTCGACTTTTTTCGAACTAGTTTGTCAAATCTCGATTTTCTAATCCAAAGTCAATGATTATTCCACATTTTGCTTGCTTAGTCGAAACCAAATGAGAATATGAAGCCATGTTCATACGGACCATCTGGCAACTTTTTCATTTCACAACTGGTAATAAAGACAGAGACGTTCCTAAGGATCGAAGTAAGCATGGGAATGACGGAACTCACCTCCTCCGTAGCCGAATCGCCGTCGAAAGCCTTTTCCTGGAGCGGCAGACTCGGCGGGAACGAGGTCCTCCTGGGCCTCCAATGGCTGAGACCTCATCCCTTCATCCAAATATTCACCAGGCTGTTCCCCGTTGTCCCAAACCCCTTGGGCCAGTGCCACCATGCACGCCAATCCGAGAAGCCCGAACACCTGCATGGAGGACAGTGACAAACGTGCATCGGTGAGGGTTCGGTAGTCGGTCGTCTCAATTTTTTAGCGTATGCGGAGTTAAATGCTATATAATATCCCATCGCGTCCATGTAAAAATGTAATTGTCCATGGTCTCGACGCAATCGAAGCACGAAATCGCGCTCTACCTGTCAACAACTGCGTAATAAAATAAATGAGCCACAAGTAACCCATCTGTCATTAAAATAAGGTCCCCAGAACCGATTTGAGATGGCGGCGGTCACTGCTGATGCTACTGAAAACTTAGTGCGAGTCATTACCTGGTACAACTGAAATCGTGGGTATTTTGGCGTGATGTCGCTTGCGCGCGTTCATCCGCGGATTTAACCTGTCCTCATATCATTTGCAATGGTGTAACATGAAGAGGGCATTTCATATGTCCTCCTATCACCCGAGCCTACCAATTACATCTTTAGTTTTGTTTCTGTGAGTTGTTTGTGTGTGTGTGGAGGGGGGGGGGGGGCACTGAATTGACAATGAATCAAACTGCATCAGCCAGACCAAGAGGAGATTGATGTATCTACAGTTTTGTGTTCGATTGTTGAGGTTTTTTTTTTTACCTTATTCAAAGTGTAATTGATGAATTGGTCGATGTTTGCAATCAAATCGCCAACCTTATTAGAAAGTGAAACTCACGAATTTCATCGTGCTGGATAGTGCGCTGTTGAAGGAAGGACGAGATGAAATCACGCAGATACAACTAGTAGCCGCAACAGGAAGGGAATGAAAGTAACAAGCCAATTGGGAAGTATTTATAGTCTGCCCAAAAGTGTGTCTATGAACCTGCAGCCCTTTCTTAATTCCTCCTTTTTTTTCTCGGTTCTTCTTCTCCCTGCTAGCCACATAATGAGAGGGCTCTGGAGAGATAAATGGATAGGGAATCTCCAGGTTAGCAGACGAGACGGAATTCCCCAAATGAATATGTATGATCCCCTAATGTTTGTTATGGTTTTCCTTCCTCTCGACCTTGAAGATATTCTTCCAAGGTTTTTTTTTTCCCTGTTCAAGGGCTCTTCTGACCTTGGCATCTGCCGAGGAAACTGAAACTCTCTTAAGGTTAATTTTCCTAGTCGAAATCAGTGGTGTCGCGAGGCTTACGTGCCCCTCATGCAATGCAAAATGTGAGTATGACGGTTCTTGAACTTGATGTTTAGATGAAGTGGCAGTGGGAACCGAGAAAGATTGGTAGCAAATAAAGTACAACAGAATATACAGTGCCAGAAAAAAGTATAGAATCCATTTTCATCTTTCTCTCTCTCTTCTTTGTTCATGTTCAAGGATACCACAAACGGTAATTATTGGGTTCAGCCTTGGGCGAATTTTTTTTAGCAGCTTACTACAAAACTCTACTATTGTGATATTTCAGTCAAAAAGATGTTCGCTCATCGCCAAAATAGCAACACCAAGAATGGGTTGAGCGATCTTGATGAAATTTCATGAAAACTCGTGTCAGTTTGCCATGAAATCGATCATTGTTCCAAGGATGTGCAATGAATATTCAGATAGAAAACTTGCGAAGCACTTTAATTCAAATGGGGCCTGGGAGATTGTACTATTTTCCCAAAACAAATACCAAGTAAGTATATATATGGGGCTTTCCGCCCCTCCTCCGCCGGGTGGAACATACTGGTCGATTCCGTCGAGAGCGAAGGAAGGGCAGGTCTCTTGGGTAAATTCTTCCGTTTACTCTGTAAACAAATAGAGTTCGGACTAGAATCTTCATATGGTTTTACGCCTTCCATTGAGGGTTCAGGAACCATTTGAAATGGATTTAAGCCGACTTCCTAAGCCATATGATATTTCGGCCCATAAGAACCAATCTATTGCTTTTGAAATGTTCAGGAATGGATTCAATTCGAGTGAAAGTCTTCTGCCGCCCAGAACCGTTTGCCGAAATCTGGATTGTCAATCGTCGGAGGGTTCCAGCGAGTGTTCCGGATTATCTTCCGTATCGTTGATTATCTTCCTTGACAAAGCCCTGAGATCCTGGAAGCTCCAGGTGTCAGCTCGTTTTTGCTCGGTTCCATTAAAACAGTTTCATAACAGTTTCACTGTCGAAACCAGAATTGGTTCCAATCCTAAACCTTTATTTTTATACGAAATGGGTTCAAAGAATTCCAAAAGTGATTCCACAAGTATTTCCTTCAGCTTTATGCTAATTCTGCCTAAAAGCTCTGCCCTCTTATATTCTCATATGATTCTGATAATCGAGAGTGCAAAAGTAATTAGAATTATTTCATTTTCATGAGCATTGTAGAGTATTTGCCACTTTCTTTAAATATTAAATTATGATTAAATATCCAAAAGTTTACATAATTCCCCTCAGGTGAAAATGGTTGAGAAAATTTCTCCTGAGCAGTAAATGTTGGCATGCTCCCATAGGTAGGAGCAGTGTTGGGCGGTAACGAAGTAAAAGTAACGCGTTACAGTAACTAATTACTTTTTCAGTAACTTTTAAAGTAACGAGTTACTTTTCAGGGGAGGGTAACGGAGCTGGTAACTAGTTCCTTTTTCATGGCAAAAGTATATGGCGTTACTGTAACGCGTTACTTTTCTTTATGATTTACTAAATTTGCTGAAAAAAAACCAGCGCTTCACGGCCACATGCATCCTAATTGATGCAATATTGGCAGGAAAGATGGGGACATGAAATGACCTTGAGAAAACGTGGTTTATTCAGTGCAGGTTTCTTGGCCGTACTTGCAAAAATATTTCGATGTGCAAGTCAGAAACGAATTCGAGAGTTCCATCGATGCAGAGACGTATTTTACAGGGGATAGCCACCCCCAGGCGCCTCTGGGACAGAATCTAGCCCCACCTTAGAGGTAATACTTTTCTCTCCCGCTATCTCTCGGATGGGGTTTGGCTCTATCGCCCTGTCCCCCCACCCCGACCCTTCAGCCAAAATACGCCACCGCATCGATGCAAACTTTTGTGTGAAGTATTCTATGTTTACTGATGGCCAAGGTACTTTCCATCGCACGAACTTCAGCATTTAAATTGAGAAAGCATGTCTAGATAGTTCCATCGTGTCCTGACTCCATACAGACGACCTTTGGTCTAACGTTAGATCGGAATGATAGACGTTGCTTTGGTTCTGATAGTGCATCTGCACGGAAACTTTTCGTATGCTTATCGTTGGCACCTCTTTCCTCAATTTTGTCCGATCCCCTATTTCAAGTGCCCCGTTTTGGCACTCTCCCAACAATCCATCATCAGTTAGACTCCGTTAATACTCAGGCCTAGCACTTGCACTTTAAAGTGGAGAGCCTAACTTAATGAACAGTGATTTGCAAGTGAATATGTATCACTTTTAACATGAGCACCTCAGACCCAATTCCACATATATGATGGTTGAAACACCCTCATCTCCTTGATTGCGCCATAAAAATACCATTACATTGTAAAAGTCAGTGAAAATTCTTTTTCAATCACTGTATAAGTTGGATTTATGCAGTCCATGTCTGGTTAAGGGAAAACAAGAGAACATGACTTTGGTTAGTTATATTTTTCTATCTGGTACTCATGATAAGGGGTAGGCTGGGGTAGGTCTCCCCATCACCAATGGCAAAATTCTTTTTTTTTTCTTTTTTTTAACTAAAGGGTGCATTCTGTCTCAGTATATAATTCCTGTTAAGTAGCCCATGGAAAGGGAAGAGGCACAGGGAAAAGAGTAAGCATGAGTATGTATCCAGTTAAGTGCTGATCATAATTCAATTTTCATTAAATCAGGGGTAACTTTCGCTTTCAGTCCATACATCCAGCTTTTGTCGAAGAAGTGGCGAAGCTGTAGAAAGATCAGAGTTTTTGTTCAGGAAAAGTAACTTGAAAAGTAACTTCTACTTGTAACTAGTTACTTTTGGTGAAAGTAATTCTACTGGTAACTAATTACTTTTTGGATTAAATACTTGTAATTGTAATTAGTTACTTTTCACATGTAACGCGCCCAACACTGCGTGTCTTCTTCCCAATGGACATTAGTAAGGTATGAAATTAGCACACGCGCAACCTCAAGGCTGCGTATGCGGCCCCTCGTTACAATTCCGTTCTGAAAATAATTCATGTGCACCTCTTTCGAGAAAGAGTACAAAAACAACTTTTGACAACTGATCAGACTAGTGCTTGGAGAAAAGACAGCTCACTGAGATACGTCCGTCGGCACTTGACTTGTAGACACCCAAAAGAAAACGAATGCATGCTTGGGATAAGTGCTTTTCTGTGTTTTCAGTACAAGGGGGCCATAATTCGATTTTCGCAGTATTACCACACAATGTACCCAAAAGTCAACGAACAACTCCGATAGAACGAGACATATACTACGGGGCCTAAATGATTTATTCTGATCTTTCTCGTCCGGTTCGAATCGGTAAAAATTATTTGCTTGTTACATAAATTTATCGATAGTTGTGTCTCGTCTCTTCCTTCCTCCTCTTTTACCATTCGTCTGATTATTATCGGTGCTTCATGTACCATGCTCATGTGCCGAGAAAAGCGAAAGAGGCGCATTGACCTCTCGATCGCAGAGATGAATTCGTTAACTTGTTCCAGGCATGGCACAGGACTTCCAGTATAAAGAAGTGAAGAATCTAATTATAACATTCTGTACTGTTATCCAGTGCTATCAAGTAAACACCAGAAACAAATAGCACTTTCTTGGTGTTTGTTCCTAACACAAACTTTCCAAAGCGAGTTCAACAATCGCTCTTACCTGGGCAAGCAGGTATTGGGTCAAGTGTGAATGGATCCAGGAGAATCTCATGCTGGCTCCCATGGCCCTTTATTCTTGGAGCACTCATATTTTACATGCTCACGAGTCACATTAGTTATCAGTGGAGGGGAGAGGGAGTCACACAGACAAAGTGCTCTCAAGTATACAACACCTATTAGCAGCGGTCCATATATATATATTTTTTCATATTTCATAGTTACGAGTGAAAACAGTGAGAACTGTCGCTAGCGTAGCTGACTCTCCAAGCAGCCATTACATTTATACCTTTTTTCATCAAAAAGGGGGTTGAAAATAAATTTGCTTTTGTGAAACTTAGTTTTAGTAGATGAGAAGGCCAAAACACAGCAAGTAATAATTTATGGGCCCTGACAATGAGTTATGTCAAACACAGGTCACTGTAAATCCAAATTGAAAAAAATTATTTAAAGGAGTAATTTTATACGATATTTCTGTTCCATGAAAAAGTTTGATTTAACTCCCTTAGTCATCAGGAGAGATTAATGTAACCTGGAAACATTGTAATTCTGATCATTGATTAGAACTCCCACACGGGCCCACTGGGTTGGCATTTGCTTTATAATGCAGATATAGGCAGCATTCAGGACCACTTGGCAATTGGCCATCCTCCCTTACATGGACATACAGACACGAAAGGAGTATGGTTTTGGTAGAAGATATAGTTGTCAAGGCTGTATTTTCATGTTTCTCATTTTTAGGACAGACTGAATAAAACATGAAGTATAAACCTGTCCAGGTAGAAGTAGAAGGTATGTAGAAACTCACCTGACAGGCACGGATCTTTTCCTCGAGGATCTTGTTGGATACAATGGACAAGGGAACACTGAGCTGGATTTCCTTTTGCAGCCTCTCTTCCACCTCCTTCAGCCATGCTCTTAGCCGTCGCATCCCTCCCTCCACTTCTGCAGATACAGAGAAGACAGAGTAATTTCTATCAACTGTACCAACTTGTAAGCTCTTGCACTCACATTTGGAACAATGGACAGGAGGACCCACAGAAGATTAATGTGATGAAAATGAAAATTTCTATAAATATATTAAAATGAGAAATCACACAGTGCTGCTAACAAAAGTCAAAATTCACAAGGAATTTTGCCATTTTTGCAATTTTAGAAAGGCTTCAGATGCATCAAACTCTTAAGTGGACCATGAAACTCACCATGAGTGACGAGTTATCTGCACAAAAAATACAAACTCCATGCATAATGACAAACTTGAGTTATGAAGGAACAAAATAAATGCACTCAAGCCTCAAAAAGGACCATTAAAGTGGTAACATGAACTGCATTTTATGACAAAGGAATTGAAAGAAGATATGGAAAGGATCCAGTGCAAAAGGAAAATGGATGGGACAGATATTTCTCTTGTCATGAGGGCACTAAAAAGTAAAAAGAAATCTGAGGAGTTCACTAGAAAAGGGTTTAGGTGCCCCAATACCCTTTGTCCATATACAAGTTCATGCTTTCTTTAGGCTACCTGCAACAGGATAAAGGTGGTTGAGGAATTTATGAGGCAAGGGAGAAGTAGTTCAGTTCAACTGGATTCCATTCAGTTGAATGTGAACTCTGAGAAGAAATCTACAAAATACAAATTGCAGCTTTTCAGAGCTGCTTTTTTTTTGTTCCATTTCAGAGAACTCCTCAATTGATCTCACATCATACTTCAATATACTCCACTGCAAAAAAAAAGGGCTGCCAATGCATCCCAATGTACCAAGAGGACTAGCATGGCCAATGCAATAGCCTGCTTTGAATGAGCCAATTTAAAGGGTAATTGACTACAATAAATATGACATATTTTGGCCTTATTTGGTATTAACTCTTCTGGCAGCAGTAGCACCACATGATGTAAGGGGGTTTTCTTCACCATGTGGCTTCAAGTCTGTATAGTTTCACATTTTCTACTTTGCTATGGTTGTGGAATCATGGGAGTTCATGATACAAGTCTTGACATTTCAACTCAAGCATGCTCACAAAGATACAAGACAGGAAACCAACATCAATAAAAATATGAAAAAAAAAGAAATAAAGAAACTACTGACTTGAAATGGCTGCCTGCATGTGCTAGGTTTTTAACTGTTTCATATCACACAGAAACACTCCAAATTGTTCTCTGTGAATTTCCAAGTGTCTAGGTTCTTTGGATAAAAGCAACAATCATTCAAACCACACATCAGGCTAATAGAGTTTCAGCATTGCTTGAAAGATACCTCTTCTTCAGTGCCATAAAGTCACTTTATTTATAACTGTGTTCTTGATATTCTTCTATGTGCAGTGCCTTCAGAGCTTAGGCAAGAAATGAAGACCTCTATGTAGGATTGTTGTGAATATTAGGAATGGTGAGGGAAGAGAACAACATTTTCAATCAAATTATGGATTGGATTTTGTGTGATTTCTTCCCTCCCTAGTTATTTTTTAAAATACACCTTAATTGCAGCAATGTTGCAACTTCACCAGTTGTAACACAATGACAAAACAGTCAAGAACACTAAAGGGTGGTACAAAATACCTGTCCCCCTACCTCCAGACAAAACCAGCTGAGTTTCACCAAAAACATAAGTTGTCCTTGATTTTCCATCATCACAATATTATGTGCAAAATTGGAACTCTGTTTTACCAAAATGTGCTGTAAAAATGCACAGATTCTTTCATCCAAAATTTTCAGAATGAAGCAACATCAACTTCCAAGGTGTGAAACACCATCAGGATTTTCTCTCATAACCTCGAATGAAAATTGATTAATAATTTTTTTCATTCATCATTCCTACCAATCAATCCTTTATATTTGAGTCCACATGCTCAAAAACATTGTGATGAGTTCCCTGGCCATACTTCATATCCAAAGAAGTCCTTTTTCAGTTTCTTCTGGAGATCAGACTTTCTGTCCAGATGGCTTCTGAGAATCAGACCAAGAATCAACATTTCTCAAGATCTTGTTCCAGTTCGATTTCACTCAACTTTCACCTCTGTTCCATTTTTTGCAATTCTTTTTTTCATATTGAATGTTGCATCCTCATATATAGCAATTTTCCAAGACACATCCGAGGCTAGAGATGTAATGGTTAACAGTCACCTAGGATGCCTGCCATTTTAAAAATCAAGTTGAAAATGAAAAAAATATCATATGACATAGCCCTTTTTTGCAACATTTACAAAATCATCCCATGTTATGCATTGCTGGCTCCAGGAAGGGGGAGGCAACTATTATGCAACACACTGTACAATAAGGATGCACCCATAAAAAAAAGGGTATCTATCAAGATGCATTTGTAGACCACTGCTGAAACTACTGTAGCCTGATGTGTGGAAAAGTTGAATTTTCTTATTGAAGTTTTAATGATTGTTGTTTTTTTTTAATCAAAATAACCTAGAGACTTCAAACTTTCAAAAGAAAAGTTACAGAATTTTCTCTATGATAGAAAAAATTGCCAATCTTGCATTTCTAAGGTAGGTTTCATAAAGCATCAAACAGAATGCTTTCTTGTGGTGCCATCTAGTATTTGACCTCATCAACTGTCCAGATCAATTCAATTGTACTATTTCAAGAATAGGCCTCAACTGTACAGGACATGGAACAGGAACACCTGAATATGAAAACCCAGGCAATTGTGCATCAATAGAAGTTTATTACACTCTATATATATTCATGGATCCTATTATTTGTCAATAGCATCAGTGAGTTCAAACTGGAAACCACTCAGGTTGGATCCAGGAGCCATTGCATTCTGATATTGCTGAATGCAAGAGAATCAAAACATTTCATGCCCTGTGTACGTCCATGGAAAAAGTTGAGTAAGTATGGAGAGGAGACAAAGAGAGGAAAGGTAGAGATGATTCCTACTTAATTAGTGTTTGCTCGCTCTCAAAGAGAAATGATAATCAAACTTCTCAGCTTCAACTTTTGTCCCAGCCATGAAAGTGATTCTCAAAGTGGATTTTTATTTCTGTTCAATACTCGAGATATAGGTAGAGATCATCACAGGACAGATGCACATTGCCATGTTATTCCATACATGAAGCATGCTAACAGGTAGCATTTAGGTAGGTTACTTTAAAGCTGCCATGCATTGCATACCCCCAAGACTAATGTGCCCTGACAGTTAAGTTCAGGCCTAAATAGTACAAAAGGACTACTTCCAGTAATTTCACATTACTTAGTGACCTCAGCCTGAATGCTGAAGCATGCTTCAGTTATTGGTTCTTTTAGAATACAAGGATTTTTAAGGGGAAAAAGAAGTTCCAATCTTAAAGGTCCCACCTATCTTCTTTATATCAGATTTGTGCTTTTGGGCATAAGAGGAAGAGAAGACACCAAAACATGATACTGAAAGCATGCAAGTCCCCAGTTCCATGTCTATGGAAAGTTGTAGTGTTTCAAGTGCAGGCCTAACCTCAGGTGTAATTCTTTTAATGGTATGAAACTCAAGAGTCAACAAAATGAGAAAAGGTAGTTACAGCTTTATGCTGTCTGTTGCAGCTCCTGACCCAGTCACACCTCCATTCAATCAATTTTTCCAGAATCAGTAGCATTGGCCTACTGGGCTAGGAAAGAGAACATGCTTCCACATGCTGACACTCCTTCCTTACACAATTCCAACATTCACTTTGAACTTAAGCAACCCTCCAGGGAATAGTGTCAACACCAGTGCCAAAAAAACATGCCTCATTTCAACATTCAGCTCAGATGAACTCCTTTTGTCAAGGTGTCAGTGGTTCAGGTTGACATTTGTGTGAACCTGTGAGAAGTAAACACTGATTCCTGGTTGCCAGTTCAAACTAGGTTTTTAATTCATATTGGTCAATTTTACATAGGTTAGCATGTGACTAACTCTGACTTTGAACTTGCCTAATGTCTCATGAAGGTACTCATTAATAAGCTATGTTGTTATTGCATATTCCTTGATCAACAATGTTCCATCACCACAATTGGGGGAAGACTCTTTTTAATTGAAATTACCATATTTCATAATATCTTACCATTGGAGGGAGATGGAGGCCGGGGATCATCATCGTCACGAGGACTTTTGTCAGGTGATGATGATGATTCAGGTGAATCTCCCTGAAGAAGAGCCTCCCATCCTTTAGTAATGGAGGCCTCCCAAGGTATGTGGTTCGGGTTAACATGGAAATCCAGTTGACGTCTGGCTCCGTTTTCATTCTCCTGTCGGGCACAAAAACGTCATATCAGACTTGAAATTTCATTCAATTGCCATTTCCATCTGGAGTTTGCATAGTTCTGAAGGAAGGTAGAAATCTGAACTTGATTCTAGAACACCCCATCTAAACTAGTCTCCCTTAGCCCATAATTTTGGGAACCACACAAAAATTAATAAATAAGCAAGCCTTTTCAGGAGAACAAGCCATAGAAAGAGCAGTCAAGAAAACCATCAAATAACTCCAGCATTTATAAGAATAACAGGTATAGGGGGGTTTGGAATATGTATTTTCAACTTCTACTTTCCAGGATTTTTATATTTTTGGCTTACAGCCCCACTAGAAACCTTGTCGTCATTGTTCAAACCAGTGACACGAATCTCTGAAAAACTTCATCTGAATGATGCTGCACCCCATAACTCAAAAGTGTTAAATGAAATTTGACAAATCCAATAGCTTTTTTTGTCAGTCTGTCACACAAGGAAAGTCTCCACTTTGCATGACTGCCTACAGTACTCATGAAATTTTTTCATTCATGAAAACAAGGCTGTGGTCTATGATGGCAAATTTTCCATGTGAGCATATGTGGTCTGCACTAATTGACAGCTAGGTAGAAATGCCTTGGAGATCAGAGCAAATTCAGGTTGATGGGGGAACATAGATTTAAGAGAATCTGAAGGTGGATACAGCAATCCCTGCATGATTATCATCCTTGCAAGAGGAGGAATACTCAGACAGAAGCCATGAATTATTGAAAACTAACAGTTCATCTCACATTGGATAGTGTTGTGGAGGTAGGCTGCAGAAGAAGAGTTCATTATTTGACTTTGAAGTGTCCACCAAGGTAGTGCCCATTCCATCAATGAGAATAATTTTTGGTTAGAAAATTCTGAACTTAATTCTGTTCCTCAATGCCTCAGCAACTCAGGAAGTCACCCAGTGATGCAATAATTGCCAATTGCAGAACTTTCTTACACCACGACGTAGTTGGTCCACCATGACAGCTCCCATGTCAACTTCTTAAGTTGACATAGGAACTATCATGGGAAACAACCAACTCCAAAGCCAAAAAAAGCATTTTAGCCATGACACATAATCCTTTGCAAAATCTGCCAAAAACAGGCCACAGTCAACCTAGCATACACCACATTTTTTATTTTAAAAGCAAAAGATAATCAAGCAAAATTGAATTTTTTCTTGAATCATGACCTGAGAAGGAAGAAAGCATGAGATTAATTTCAATCAATTAAAAAAAATGCATGCAGTATGAGAGCAGATTCATAACTTTCTAGTGTATTCAGACCCAAACAGTGTTTGTGAAGAGGGAGTTGGCATGTAGTATCTTGTGTGTCCTTGCATCTCAGAGTAGCATCTGTTTCTAAAAATCTTAGAAATGAAGAGAGAGTCTGGCATGTTTGCAATTGAGAATAGACAGAGGAAGATGTCTGAGTCACTCTGGCAAGCACACGCAGACTGCACCAACATGTATGTTTCCCATTGAAAAGAAAATATCAAATAGTTTCATCCATTCTAATTGTATCTGAAATTATGCATACATTATGGTATGTTAAAATGTTATTTTGCACATTCACAAATATGATTGGTCAATAGCTCCATTCATTTCTCAGCAAGAGAGAACCCTGAGATGACAAGGTATGAGAATGTAGTTCAAGAGATCCTTACTCTTGGAATAATATTTTCCTTTCCCTCTAATGGGCACAGGTCTTGATTTGCCATGTCTCCTGAGAGGTTCCATTGTGTCCAACTAAGATCCACTGCTGCTTCCTGGAAAAGCAAAAGGGACTTCAAATGAGATCACTCCACAAGGGGGCTATCACTAAGCGTTCATCATATCCAGAAATTATAAAGGAAACACAAACAACCCACATTAAGTACACAATAACAGCAACCCTCCCCTTTCAACATAGTTATAACTCGTGATTCCATAAATCCACCTCCTCTGACAGTAAGAAAACATAAAAGATTCAGGTGTTTCATTGCGGGGTGCGGTCTTCCTTCTTCCATAAGCAGAACATTTGATTTTACTCATTCACCGTATCACATGGGATACAATTCTCAGCCTGCAATATGTAATCTGCAATATCAATGTCAAGTACAATAGACACTTTCCTTTTCCCCGAATTTCCACACAATGACCCGCAAAAGAGTTCAAAGACCTTAGTTAGTTGATAATTTTGAGGCAACATTTTGTCGACCTTTTCTCCGAACCTCAGCACCGACGTCAAATGCCGCATACGTACCCATGAACTTCCCCTCCTACACTTCCGCAAATTGCAAACTCACCTTGCAAGAATCCATGAGCTGAGAATCCATAAGAAATTGATAGTTGTCTTGAATGGCAGCCCAGAAATCATCCTTGTTTTCCGAGTCCAAGAAACTGCCATTCAGACTTCCATTCAAGGAGTCCTCCAGACCCCAAGATCGCCTCCATCGCTCCTTGTTCAATGTTTTCCTGGAAAAAGGCCAAGATGCATGATAGAGTAAGAAACATTGGTGGTACAACGTAGCAGTCTCAAACCGTAAGACACAGACCAGCAGCTGGACATTTAGAAAAGTATAACATAAATATTAAAAGTCATCGTTCAATGATGGTGGTCTGAAGTTGAACAAACGTAGACCTGACTCTTTCAGGCACTGAATCGGACAGATGTCACCAGATCATGCCTAGAAATAAGTTATTAGTATGCCTGGCGCACGTGACAGCTGTTCCACCTGACCCAGATGAATGGGAATTATGCATTGGTAAGCAAACCTGCCATCAGACAATGCCCCTATTCCCAAAGCTGCTTGAGCAATCACTCATCCTCCATGACACACCCCTTTCCGTTAATTGGCATTTTGCATGACTTGAGCAAGTTGCAAGCCAAATGCGACCTTCCGCGTCAGTCATATAAAAGGGTTTCATGCTGCATGACACATGGAGACAGCTCCTAGTGCCAAAGCCTATATTTAGTGCGAAGAAGAGGGGCATTATAAAAGCCAACGGCAGAACTGAAATTTACATTTATGGAAAGAAAAAAAATTCCTAATGTCTCTACTTCCAAAGAGGCATTCGTAACTGACAAACAGTTTAGCATACGGTTGTAAATCACCTGTGACTTCTGGTGAGGGAATTGGGAGTAGAGGACGGGGAAGCCTGATTGGAGCCGGACAGGGACGTGAGAGACGAACTGGACTTAGGAACTCCACTCCATCCCATTCGCTGAAGTTCCATCATTTCCCCTCTGTCTGAGTCTCCTCCTGAGGAAAGACATGAAATATAGTGACCACCTTGCAGGGGAAAGTGATTTGCCACTACCATCTGTCGCTCATTCACACACTTCCAAGCCAAATAAAGTGGGCTATAACATTCTCAAGGATCCCGCCCCATTCACAAGGAGACAGAAAAAACAAGAGAAGAGAGGACAAGAGAGGAAGAAGTAAAAATGCTCATTGCTCTCTTCTTCCTGCCCCGAGGAAAAACCCGCGAGCATAGCCAACAAAAAAAAAACCCTCATAACTGTTGACAGAGCACGTCTGGTCGTGAAGGTCTTTCAACCCCAGCGATTGAATACAAACAATCAGAAGTGAATTGGACAAACAAGAGGAGAGCTGGAGCAGCCCCCCACAGCATTCATCAAGATCTCTTCCCATTGGAATCCCTCTAACCTAATCAGCAGGTCCGCACGCCACTGCCTCTCGGGTACGAGATGGCTTTCACTGACAGGCGAAGGTAAATCGTAAATGCAAGGGATCCACCTGGCATCAAGATTGAGACCGTGATTGAGGAGAACAAGCAAATACATTCCCATTCACGGAGAAACCGTAACGCAATCACCCCGGGGAATGTCCCATTGTCTTCCTCTTTTTAAGGGCTGGAGGCGAAGGAAATCCCATGACACCTCCGTGGATATCATCAATGGATGGTGTGGAAAAAGAAGAGGAAAGAGAGAAAGCATTAATCAGGTGTTCTTGATTAAAGGGAAACGACAACTTCATTGCCTTCCCCTCGAGGGACTCCAGCACAAATAGACGACTCATTTCGCATTCCGATCCCCCCCCCCCCTTTGTCACAAAAGGATTGCAATTTCAGTGGATTCTTCGGGTCAGTGGCATGGCATCCTTGTCACGCACACGAGATCAAGGTAACCCTTTCCCTGTCGTCTCGGCGGATGCACCCGGGCGCATCCCGCAATGACCTTCAAACTCTAGTAGTCATTCCTGTATCGGTTCTAGGAATGATTTCCTTTGAGAACTGCGAATGATTAACGAAGGTCCTAGTGTCACGAGCCCCCAATCAAAGAGGGGAAGGGGGGGTGGGGGGGAAAGAGAAACTAGTCCGTCCTCATGAACTATTTTTTTTTCCCCTTTGCTTGGCAAAATCGTGCCTCCGAGCCAGAATCGTGATTCCCCTTCTGCCCTCGCCCATTCATTCATTTTTTTGGATACCCATCAGGGATCCTCGTCGCTTATCCCGCACACACCTTACGACCTTGCTCGTGATGATGGAGTAGGTAGGATATTTAAAAAAAAACTAACGAAAGTGAGAGCAGTGAACCTCAATTCCCAAAGATGCCCGACAATCATGCCCAGGAGCATTTCGGGATGCCGAAGAAGTTTTTGTCCTCAAGGTCTCAGAAGTTCCGGTTATGATCGAACATCTCTTACAGATGAGCACGTTGAGCACGAATAAGAGAACAATGGCCTTCAAAGTTGGACAATAGAGACGTCGAGGTCCTTTCCCTTTCTTCTTCTAAGTCTTCTTCAGTTCGTAAAAGAGGGCACGTCCTTCTATTTGTGAACGGGAGTGCGGTGAACCAGACTGGAAGGAGGACATTAGCGTGCATTTGCGCAATCTCATCAGGAAGGGAGAAAGGAAGAAGACAGAAACCCAGCAGACACTCCAATTTTTTCCCTCTTTTTCCCCCCAGCAGAAAAGAATGCCTTTCCAGGGACAGGTGACGAATGCGTCTGCCTTCTCCCACGGGCACACACCAGCGCCGAAAACCGCATTTATTCCTTGCGAAGAGGGCAAAGAGGCGGGAAGGAACACTTTTCGCACGCATCCTCGCACTCCTCCCCTTTCAAGGTCCTGCCAACTTTTGTGGAACGGAGACGGACGTCTCATTCACCCCGGGCTTCACTGCACGATAACCCCTAATTACCACACTAAATTACGCCATCAAGATGTCAATTAGTGGTGGATCCAGTGGCATTTATCGATCCGGGAAAACGCTGCTAATCCATTACGAGACACTGGGCGGACAATGGGACCGAACCAGTTGGTTCAATTTCCTTCCTTCTCTCTCCTTTGTTCTAAGGACCAACCCCACCATGTCTAATGAGAGTCCTCAGGCCAGGGAGAGGTGCGATCAGATTTTCTTTTTTCACTTTCACAGGCCTGTTATCATCGACACGGAATGACATTATGAGCCCGGGGGGAGGGGGGCCTTGTTGAAGACGAATATGATGGACATGGACGTGAATGGAATCCCGTGGAAAAGCATCTAAGAGGTTTCTCACGAGATCATGGATGACCCCTGTAGGAAACCAGAGGTCAAATTCCCCCTGCTACCATTAGTTAGCGGAAATTCTGAGAGCCTCCCCACTTCGTGTTGTGAAGTAAACATAAAAAAGTCCCTTTTCCCTCTTCCTTTCTCACACCCGCTCGTTTGTTCGTGCCAGGTAGAAGAAAGTTTCCATTGCGAACCCAAGACGTGTAAGGAGTCCTTACGGGACATCAAGCACGTACCATAGCAGAATCGCACATGGTAGACACAACACAGAACTCAAAACAACGCAGCCGAGAACCGTGGGAAATTGTCCTGACGCTTCATCCATCCCCTACAAATGGCCTTGGTCTTAGAGCAACATTTTCTGCAACTTGCCCTCATTCCCTTCCCATACACGTACACCATTCAACACCGGAGGGGGGTAGGAGGCTGGGGAAACTGTCGAGCAACTCTGGTCTATCATACAGAGCTCATGCGATATAACACTGGATATAGCATTAAAGGGGAAGGAGAATGAACGAGAATGCCTGGAGCCAGTTAGCGAGGGGATAGTCGGCGGTCGGCGCAAAGGGGCAACGATTAGTCCACTCCAGTCTAGACAGCTCTGAGTTTATGAATTTCGGAATTGTTTTACATTATTTCTGTAGTAGAATGCATTCTTTTTTCTTTCAAACCAAGCAGAACTTCAGATATTCACACTTACGAGTAATGTTTAACATTTGGTGAATTCAGAAGCAGTAGTAGGGAATAACACCCCAGTTTTTGGCCACGCTGATACGACTCCCACAGGAAGTGGACATCCTGTGCGCACACCGGGAAACACTAGTAATAGGTTCTCGTACGGGAAGATGTTGATAGAATGCTTGAAAACGGCCAGATTAACTATGTTGGATTTAAGCCTCACTGGCCAGCAACTAGAGACCAGCCAGAAACCGGGGTGCTTACCCTATTCCCGCAAACGTTGACGAGAGCTTCGAGCTGGCGTAGGCACCGCGGCACATCCGGGCGATTGCAAAAGAGTCCTCTATTATCTTTCAAAGGAAATGAGGTTCGCTCGATGGCTCGAAAATTACAAATGATGTAACCTCGCGAATTTGTTTCTCACCCACGGCGGGAAAGGAGACATTCGATGTGTAGTACTTGAATGACACTTCTTTCGTTCTTTCCTAATTGCCAAGGGTTCTTTTTTTTCAGAACTAACGAACGGTATCCAGGCGACTAACACCTTTTACCCTTTCAAGCTGTTCGCTTGTTACTTTTTTTTAACTCTCTTTTGTTCAGTTATTTCTGGACAATCGAGTTTCGCGCAGGTTGGAGGAGCTTTCCGGGGACTTACCAAGAGAGTGACTTGCCAAGCACCAGGGGGGATGAGGGGAGCACCAGGGGGCAATGGGGGTGAATGGGAATCCTTTGGCACAAGTACAAGCGGAGGTCGGTGAACACGGGGAGGCCCTCAACGACCAACTACCACCACTACTACCACCACTACTGTCCCTATCCCCACACCCACTGTGATAGTCACTCGTCCACAACAAGTCTTCCTCTTTCTCTACTAGGATCTTCTTTCTCTTCCGCTTCTTCCTCCCCCTCTTCTTCCGTCTTCTAGACCTGATGGGGGAAAAATTCGCAGCGTCAAAAAAACAGGAACAAAGCCTTCCATCGCCGTCGTGACAGAGGAATGTATGGCTAACAGTCAGCCGTCGGTCTCCCCCCCCCCCTTACATATTTTTTGTATAAAGAGGGGACGTTATGCAAGTCACGATGAGGAAGGGGACACGAGTAATGATAGAAATAGCACAGTAACACATAGACCAAGTGGTATAACACCTACTTTCTCTCCCTTTTCTCCCCCATACGGTTTTTTTTTGTGAGTGAATGGGGTATTCCCTCATCACCATCATTAGGAGATTAGAAGGGGCAGCACACTTCCCTGTTTCTTCTCCCTGCTTGACGAGAATCATATGGCGCTGGGACTTCGCTGCCCTCATTCCGGCTCGTGAGGTTACAAATCCACGTGAATCACAGGGATTCAGGCTCATTGCGCGCCGCCCTTAGCTAATCATGTGGTCTGGGCTCATTATCTTCACCTTGACAGTCCCCCGAAAATTGTAACGACACAGGATTCCCTAGAGAACAACGCCGGCTCTCTTCTTCTCATTTCTCACTTTGGCCATAATGTATTTCCTATACATCATACAGTTCAACTACAGATACGACGTCGGCATCTTTTCACACGGCACCTCTACGAGCAGAAAAAATATCAACTAAACCCGCTTTCAAGGCACGTTTTTCTCACTACTAGGAGGTGAAAAAAATAACATCTTACATCTTTAGACATTTCAAATCCAGCCTACTTCCCTTTTCTTCTGACAGTAGAAAACGGTATATGGGGAACGGGATTCGTCAATAAAGGAAGTTAGAAACAAAGAGATAATGGTGGACCCCCCCTCCCGATTGGGGACGTTTCCTCTGACCTCTATGAGTAGCGGGGAAAGTCTATCCCATTACTGCTCCCTACGATCAAACTCCAATCAATGCCGTTCAATGATCGCATTACCACCAGGTGAGAAACAGCGGGTTTGTGCGTCAGACACCCTCATAGGCTTGAAAAATCCTTCGAGGTAGCCTCACTCTTTAAACTCTTTCAGGCATGGTGGTTACTAGTACTAACTTTCTGTAATTTTTCCTTCTTTACAGGCATAAAGGTTAGCTGCACTAACCACCATTGCGATTGACTAAATAGCAGAGAATAATGTGATGTACAAAATTATTCAAGTCAACTTATGAGTTTATGGCTTAAATTTTGTCATTTAATGTATAAATTAAAATTATTTCCTGAAAAAATGTGTTCATGCGCTTGAAAGAGTCAAGTCCCTCAATAGAATTTTTCTTTTCAGAGGATAGGTTTTCCCAGAAAGTTTACCGTCAATTTCAAACGATGTACTGTAAATTTCTAGCGAATGGGAGTCGTGGGGTCGTCTCACCACTAACAACGTCTACGCGTCTTACTGTAAGATTCAACACATTGCAAACAGAAGTTTCAAGACGCTCATAATGATTCCATCCACCTGCAATGTTCCACGGACCGCAGCAGTTAAATAATCCAGGCCTTTTTCCCTTTACTCTATTACCGCCTAATCCGTATGGCATCTGCCACAGTATTTTACATCTGCATGCGTGATGCATGAGGCACACCTGTCGAACGACCACAACACAATACTGTTCTGCAGTCTCTGACAATACGTAACATCGTATACCATCGAGAACCCGAAATTCTTGACAGGTCGGAGGGGAGAGGAATTTTCGGAACCGAAGCATAACAGACTAAGCAAAGAAGCGAAGGGTGAGACAAATTCCTCCGCAAAAAAAGGGGCAGCGAGAGGAGAGTTTATACCTGGGTGGAGCAGAGATTATACCTGGGTGAAGAAGAGGAAGAAGTTGGTAGCGAAGAGGCGCTGGAGTCGGCGAGGAGCTCCCTGAGTTGGGCATGAAGGAGGAGCCACCGCGTGCAGAGGCTCCGGAATCCCCTGCTCCCTGTCCCAGTCCCTCCCCGTCTCACAACCTCGCATAACCTTCGTACTCCCTTCCTCTCTCGTGCCAGGAGACCACCTGCCACCTGGCATCCAGAAACATCCATTCATTGATTACGTTCGAAAACATTCACTTGTCCCCCCACCCAACACAAAATGTATGGATCTATCTACCCCATCACCATGGATAAAGCATGGACGGCACTCGATATCATCCACATGTTCCTCTCGTGTTATGTTTTCCAATTCATCCACGCATTCCCTCTAATAGCAAAAGCGACCCAACTCACACACACACAGATCTCTTCTTTTTTTTCAGCCCACATCCAGAGATTCAAACCATACCCGAGATATATTTGTCAAGAGACTGAGTTCGCAAATAATGGACCTGCTTCCTTTTCCACGTCAAGAAATCCACGTACTTATCAATCCACGGTCTGGACTCGAAAATATCATCGTATTCCTTCCCACATCTTCATCATTCCACCTCGTCTTATAGAGGCCTCGGAAGAATAATAATAATAGCGACCTCAGAAAAATCATTTTTCGGCTTGACGTGTGATTATCGGGCCCGGATGTGTCAGATCCGGTGCAACGGGATAACAAATGATCTGGCACAAGCCTCAAGTCATGGATGTAACTTCTTGCTTGTCTCCCGTCCCTTGTGGGTACGGCCTTATAATTACACTGGCGGGGGAAGAAAAAAAATCGTGGCCAAGAAAAAACCCAAGTTTTCCCATTAAAGTCTCAGGAAGAAGCGAAAACGTTCTGCTAACAAGGGAACATATGCTTTCAATTTCTCAGCGACAGCAATAAAGTAATTCACCCCCCCCCCCCCTCCTTCTCCCCCTATGGAATAATAGATTCTCTGCAATCACTGCACGTCTACCTTAAGCGATAGAGCCTTTTTCCCGAAAAAGCTTTTATATCTGAGGGCTATTTAGTTCCACCTTTGAAAATTCATTTCTCCACCAAGACGGCAGATTCTAACGGGACCGGGAGATAAAGATCAAGGCGTGGGTCTGCAAAGCAAGAGTGACTTATGGCTCAGAAGAGAAAAAAAAAGGCAAAAAAAACTACAGGTGAGAAAGCTGAATGGAAAGGACGCGGCGGATGAAGACTGCACGATTTTCACATCCCCTGAGGAAGTCCGCTTCCCTTCATCCAAGTACCGTAGAAAGAAGGGGACTTTCACAAGGTGTGATGTATGACGGTGATGGATGCGTTAGACGATACCACGTGTGGACGATGAGATTCGCGTCGTGACTCCCCGCTCTGTTAATCAGCGAGGGAAGCCCAAGAAAGAGAGAGTTATACAAACGCTACACCCAGTGATTCGTCTTCCTCTCGCATGCTATAAAATGATTCCCACCAGGTGCTGGCGGTTTCGTGGCTTCCCTGAGAACCAGCGTCAAGGAAAGGGCGGAGTGAAAAAGAGTATAATGTAATTATGCTGCATCGTGTTTTAACTTTTAAGCATGAGTTCGCACCTTCGCAGTCGATCGCACTCGAGCGAATCGCCCTCTGGGTACAGACAAATGGGACATTTTTTTTTTTACCGAGCGGCTCAATCAATGGTTGTTTGCACAAAGGCATAATCCCACCATCTTCTGCCATCGACCCCCCTTGATCATCATCCGCATTTATATTCACAGGCTGAACATGTATTCAAGAACTTTCTCCTCACTCTCGAGACTCTTTCTTTTTGGCAGTGTCTCACGGCGAAACGGGAAAGTGCGAAAAGATGCAGCTGGCATTAACTTCGTGAAAACAGAAAGCTAGATGACAGATATCTCCGCGATTTCTCCCTGACCCCTGGCATGATAAAACACACAGCTTTGGCTTAGGCCCACACGTTAATGCTCATCCCACGTTCACGTACGACTTCTTACAGGTCACCCCCCGACATCACAACGGGACTCGCAGGGATATGTCTTTCCCATCATCATCATCTTCGGCGTCATCATCGCGATCCCCCTGAGAAACCCCAGGCAAGCGCACGCGGAGGGGAATCATACATCGCAGATCAAGGGTGTCGGTCTCGATCGACGACGTCAAGTTCAAGGCCGAACCTTCATGGTCTTTCTTCTCCCATTTTTGCCAGGATTTACTGCCCAAACGTGCAAGGGAGGAAAAAATATTTAAAAAAAAGCCCAAAGATACGCTGGAGCTATTAATGACAGCGGTTGCACAGAGCCAGCGAGTTGAGACCGATTGCGTCTTCAATGCCACGGTAAACCACGTCCATGTCCAAAGTCACTACGGGATGAAAACGGCCCTGTAGACCAGTGGTTTTCGACCTTTTCAACCGAGCGGCCCATTTCTTGTTCATCAAAACTTCACACTCCGCTCCATAGGGAAGGTTAATGACCAATTGAAAATAATAAAGTGGAAGATTTTCACAGCATGTACAACAAAAACTAAGCATTTTTTAAATTGTGTCCTGGGTGCAAAGTGACCCAAACCAAAACCTCACATCGGCCCAAGAGTGAGTCGCGATTCACTGTCAGAGGTTGGGAGCCTCTGTCATAGACCCTGAATATACTTTCCCAGGGAAAATATACAGGAAATGGCAAAAGAAAGTTCCCAAACATTTCACCAATAAATCTCTGCTCTTACTGCAGCTGTTTTCACAAAACCTACCTTTTGCATAGGTTGACAGACTTCAAAAGCCTAATAGACTTAGGAAATTTCAATAAAATTTACTGTGTCGAAGCAAGACGAAAAACAATGACTGAAATAATTTAAAAAATCCCGAATATTTATTGGGGCACATGCTGGTAGTGGAGTGGAAAAAAAGCCTTCGAGCTGTGGCTGCTTATTATGGAAGCCACATCGAAATCTCTTCCATTAGAATTCATTCGTTAGCCTGGTTTTCTCTAGCAGATGATTCAGATAAGCCTTTTTCCAATTAATAACTGATGAATGAGCTGATATCAATGCAGAGCGCGTGCTCAAAATGTATCCAGATTTTCCACTCGTTTGCTTTAGAGACAGGCGGAGTCTAGTCACTCTTCAGAAGGGTTTTGGTGCATTGTCGGGTCTCCAATTTCTTTTAGATCAGAAACAGGATGTGTTTAGGCGGAACGAAATTGGATGAAACTTCATAGGGATGTTGAGAATTTGTCTATCTATGCAATGACAATTGCAATTTTCTATCGTCTGTGCAATTTTCGTGATAATAGCTCCATTAAGAGCTGAGATATACTGTAATTTGCTCGTGCTTGACACCCACATTGGGTGTGCCTAAATTCGATATATTTCTTTCACGACTTCTTTCTTTCACACGTAGACATCGTCTGTTAAGGGCAACTGGTGATAAAGAGGCGGACCCCATCCAAGGAATAGAGAATAAATAGAACGTATCGAAATTGGGCATACCAAGTGGCGATGTCGAGCTTGAACAAATTACGATATAGTCAGGGGGTCTGTCTGTACACCCTGTAGCGCATCTGCAGCTTGTGTCAAATCGATAAGTTATCATCCCAGACATGAAGGACCCGTGGAGCACCTTCTACACGCACGTTCTTCAAGTGCATACTGGTGCATCTGAATCGAACCAACGTGCAGTGTCTTCCCTACTAAGTGCGTCGCATGTCTTCCCATCGGCTATTCCCACAAGGAAAATCGGAAATTTTAAAAATAAATGACAGTTCTCGGGCTCATACAACCCCCAGCACATATACACTATCCTGCTTATGTAGAGAGAATTGCGCATCACGATGCTCCGTGCGACAAGAAGGGGGATAATTTGGAAAGAGCTCAACCCGAATGCTCTCATTACCCTGGGAGAATCTGCTGGATTCACAAGCACTCGACACCGGCACGAGAGGGAAACTGATCTAGAGCAAACACGAGCTGCAAGAAGGCGGTTGAGGAAGGAATGTTATTCTACCGGTTCTCGTTCCGGAATGATCTGAATCACATTTTGACAGGGTCAACCACTTCTTTATTTCATTCTTCCCCTCCCTTTCTTTTCTACCTCGACTTCCTGTGCAACCTGCCAGGGTACCGATACTTCCTCCCAAAATGCAAATTATATATATATATATATTTTTTTTTTGCTACCCAACCTTTCCGCAGTGGCATTATCGGAGTCTTTCATTCATCCGTTCCCCAGACTTCCGTGCTTCGGGGGGGTCTCTCACTCCCATAACAAATGGGGGCAATCGCCAGGAAAGCGAACTCGTGAGATTTTCCCCCGTAACTGATCATTCGACCATTTTCACGTCGTTTTAGAACCATATATCCCAGGACCTAGGGAACGCATTCCTATAAATTTAACGGGTTTGCAAAAAAAATTGCTAAATCGCAGAAATTAAAATGACGGAAGGATAACACTCGATGAGTTTTTACGTGCGAACCGCCCTCCTTTCCCTTATCAGTATGGTGATTTTATGGAGGCAATCACTCGGGTTTCTCACGAGCTCCTTCCTACTTTACATCCCCGTATACCACGTACTTGATTTATTTTTGCGGCCAACTGACATCACGGTGTAGGTCATGCATGATCACCTCTGCAATCACCAAAGAGACGAAAAGACTCCAGGTGGAACACTTCCATCACAGATGATTACGCTATCTGACCACGATGCTCGATGGTTCCACGCCATCGAAAATCGGACAACGCAAGTTAGAGCAAGTGAACCGCAATGAGGCATCGAATCACGTGCCTAAAAACTCGGCTGCCCTTAATGAGCCATGGACCGAAGGCGTCGACAGGAACGGTCCCATCAACTCCTGTACAATGAAAGCTTATGATGCAAATAATTATTATGGGCGAGGAGAAAAAAAAAAAGAGAGGGCTTTAATTCACGTCAACGTGCATTGTTTCCAGCCTTTTGTTCCCTCTAGGGAAGACAGGATCGCGCAAGCTCTTCCTGCTTACTAACACGTACCGTAAAGTTAAACATACATGACCTCGTCCTTGTGATCCAAGTCGACCCACACGCCCTCTTTTTCCACGAACGACTCGAGACCAGAAGTCTGGGAGATGTAAGCTGACGAAACGACACGGAGAGATTGGAGGTCATGCATTAAGATAGGGGTAAACCAAACGTCTGCCTTGTGGAGATGTAAAACAAAGGATGCTGTTGACAGATCACAGCGTCGAACTTCAAGAACCATGCCTGTCATGTCAGATTACTGACATAACAGGCATGGTGCAACATAGAAATCCGTTAGATAGATCACCGTTTTCAAGCAACAGCGATAATCAAGCGTTTATGACGGCAACATATGATGAGTTTCCTGAAAAGTTCACGACTTCAATTACAGGGGCTTCCATCAGAAAGGCTTGGTGAACAGGTCAGCACATAAACCGAAGGAGCTCACGCTATCCACGATCTTCCTTGGAATTTCACGGGGTGACAGCTGCCCATACATCAGCATTTTCATCTCCATCAACACTGCCCACATAAAGCTTACAGAGCAGCATGGGAGAGCAAAACGTGCAATCATGCAGGAACATACCCCCCCACGGGAAACAAGGGTATTCGACCTCATCATTTTTCATACCTTTCCTACCGCGAAATATTATGTGATATGAAGTGTGAATGCATCCACACGGAAGCATGTCGCACCCTGAATGCACCCAGATGAAAGTAGCTTTGCCCTGAATTTAAAGCTGTCCTCAAAAGTATGCATGCGTAATATGCATGCCACATCAAATCTAAGCGATATGCAACATTAAAATCAATATAATGCGGAAACCGCTCCAAGTACAGTTGCTCCGAATGGGTTGTTTTAACATGCGCTTTATTTTTTTCCCCTTTTCCCTCTCTCTCTCTCTCAATTAATTTGTCTTAATGTTGAAGGTTCAACTGATGGCAAAGCCATTACGAAGTTCTGATTCTCCCGACTTCCGTAAAACAGACCACTGACTGCTTTCCTTTGGCTGACTATTCTAGGGAAAATGACCCCCGGCATAAGTACACTCCCAAGGAAGAGAGTAGAAAAAAACAGCAGAATCACTCCGTGAAAAGCACGTTCCCCTCCGCCCCGGGATCCGGGAAACGAAATCCACAGACCGTGGATCGAGTAAAGCGTACTATAAGCCCATAATCTAAGTTTTCATTCACGACACTCCGAGTCGCTTCGACCACTTCAAACACAGAGATGAGACGAGAACACACGCAGACCACCACCGATGGCTTTTCCCCGGCAGCAAACACCGGCGCACGACTCAAGAAGCTATGCGATAATAATGCAGGGGGAGAGGAGAGACGTACACGGAGGCAGGTGGAGTAGGTCCATGCCGAAGACCGATGACAAGGCATTTCGTTTCCCAACCACCACACGACCGGTTCACATCAAACCCATCGAATATTCCCCACACGTCCCACTCACGTGACGCGACTGGAACCCACACCGCACCGAACCGAGCGGCGACCACCACTGACTGACGTGAAGCGTGGAGGGGAGGGAAGGAGGAGGAGGGAAAAACTCCTTTTCCACATCCCCTCCGGCTCCCCGCCGGTGCCTCTCGCCCGGTTCCCAGCTCGCCTCGGTGGCGAGTCAATGAAACGTTCTCTTTCTTACCGAGGGGAAATCGAGTGATTTATCAGGATTCGTCTTTGCACCTCACATGGCTAGCCATGAAAGCGGCAGCATCGAATCATCAGGGAACATGACTGGTCAACTTCCGTCGCCGTCAATGGATCCCATCCGACACGGTTTCATCGGAAAAGAAGAAACATCACAACTTCCTCGAAAAACAACCTCAAAACAACATCTGAACGGCGGCAGATGGTTGCAGTCCCCGGATTACGTACACCTCATACAGGAGTAATTGATGAGAGCAATGCTCGCGTCGAATTCATTACAGCTTCCCTAAGCACTCGAAAATTGTCTGAATGGGGTAATCTAGGGGAATTGAGGCTCCCAGATGGCTCCTAAAACCGAGAGGAGCTCCCATCTTATACCCAGAGGCACTTGATTGCCAATTTAGCATCACGCTCAATAGGACGCTGATTGATCATTCAGAAGCGAAGACCTAATTCAAACAAGGACTGGGGTCGTTCTCCTTCACAGTGCTTACAAATCCCGTCAAAGGCTAGTCTGCCGAAAGTATAGTCATTTGGCGTGATTTCTTTTTTATGCGTCGCACTGGGAGGAAGTTCAGTAGGAGGGAAAGGGCTTCGACCTTAATTGCCTCATTATTTCAGTCGTCACTTTTTTTTTGCTCGCCTCACTGTCTCGTTAACAATGACCCCCGAGAAAAAAAAGGGAGAAGTGAAGAGTCAATTCTTTTCACCCAATTATGAGTAGCTGAGCATGTGCCCCCACAACTTGCGAATCGTCTCCCATCTTCAATTGTGCCTCCTCATTGTCTTCCTCCCCCCCTGATAGAAGTCCCCAATTATGAGAACTTTCGTTTAGTCGTAATTGAAAGGAAAACCAGGGCGACCTTTTCTTTTTGTCACTACTAAGAATTTACTAGAGCGGAAGAAAGACCCTTGCGTTTAGAAAGCAATGCGGAAAGCGGATTTTTTTATATTCCGGCTTCGTATTTGCGCAGGTCATGACTTGTGAGGTCTCTTACCCAGACGACTCGAGTGACACCTATTTCCCCGTGAATGGAAACATCAATCACCTGTCCTCTGGTCCATTGAGCGGGAAGGAAAAAGGAAACGTGCTGATGAATTGAGTTTTTCTTTCCTCGCTTTCAGCTGATCGTGAACCTTTAACGAGAGACGAAGGGGGAAGTCCCTGTAACTGGATGAGGGCATGCTTCATTAATTCGGGATAGCATTTCGTGCGTGTGCATACACCCCACACTACCCTTTGATGCTTCCGCATCTTACCCCAGACGGGGGAAGGGGGGGAAAAAAACGATACTTCTGTTTCGTGATCACGCTCCCTTCCGGCTATCCCTCAATGTCAGCCTCCGCAATGCCTCCACTGAAACAACCAGTCCAGACTTTCAACTCTATCCCAGAAATTATCGCAGGCCGACCATGTGGTAGCGAAATCCCTCTTCGTGCAACTGCCTCTTTTGCAATACTGGGCAGCATTTGCGCAAACGCCCCTGTACGCGTAAGGAACTGGAGTTGAATACGAATGTGCTTCCCTAATTCTTTTTCAAATAATTTTTCTTCGGTGACAAAAAAGTGAGAAAAAACTCTCCAGCAGCGGCAGGCAAGGACGAAGAAGAAATGCATAAACGTCCCACGTCTGAGCCAATGCCATCCAGACAAGACAAGGAAGGAAACTCGAGAGGCTATCTCTCCAACCGCTTCCTCACAGGCCTTTCGGGTTCTTTGCATCTCTCCTTGAGAACTTCCTTCTCGGCTCCCTAGATGATCCTTCATTCCACTCGTGCTGCTTTCCCTCCAGACCCAAGGTCACGAAATGGGTGATCCCCCAATGTGTCACACGATGGTGCATTGGGGAGCATCGTAAATCAGAACTACCGCAAATGAGAAGTGGACACAGTGCAGCGCCTGCAACGCGTGGATCGATGTCATTATCTGACCAAGGTCAGATTGCTCGTAATCCAAGGTCATTCCGACTGTCTCCCCACTCAGGTGAGAAGGCATGAAATAAGAATATTCGATAGCCTTGCCGACGCCCCAATTGTCCCTCCCCCGTCATTTGTCTCCAGCAGCGCCATTTTTCTCCTGTCGCGGTCAGGAAATCGAACCTTTTACTTGTTTACCACAGGCTCAACGAACTCACGAACGTAACGAAGACCATTGTTACCGTACCTTAATGGAACACTCATCCCAATTCCCAGCACTCGACCCACATTTATTCACTTCACTTCAAGGCTTCGACTCCGCCTTCAAACAATAGAGAAAGGATTTCATTTTCATTTGCCACCCAATTTAGATTTTAAAAGGGCTGACATGAGGACATATGGGGTCAGTTCCCCCGGAGAAAGGATTCTTGTTTCCGGTTGTTGACTGTTGAGCCGCAGAATGGCACTTTTTAAGACATGTAGATGGAGTGGGATACCGTGTAGAAGAAAGAGACCATGATAGTACGCCAAAATGATGTACAGACCACGATTTCGTGAAGAATGGACGATTGCGACATCGGAACGAAGCATAAAGACGTGGAAAGGCGTGCATACCCAAAGTCTAAACCCCCACAGATTGCAAAAGCGATTATGATCTGACTTGATTAGATTGGGTAATAAGTTCGGCCAATTGATGAACCCCCATTTATCCTGTATTATGAGGGTGACGGGACATTGCAAATGGCACCCTTGATAGCGAAATTGCAAGATACATATATGTATGTGCGGGCATAAATATACCTGTGCACATACACACACACACACACACGCGTACACGCTCGCACGCACACACGCTTATATAAATACAGTCGAACTCGGTTATAACGACGAAAGCGCCAGGTCCCGGCTTAGAGCCCATAAGGCACGTGACATTTTACCTCGGTTATAGCAAACTCGGTTATAACGAAGTCCATTGAAGGTCCCACAGACGAAATCGACAACGTTTATTCTTAACTGAAATTTCCGTCATCGGAAAAATTAGCGTTGGCGAGCCATAACCTTATATTTCCTGGATTTGGCATTCCTTGAGAGTCATGTGGGTGTGGCTGGAGCAATGTTAGGGAGGAATAATCCCCAGTATCTAAGATCACCTTATCTTTAGTCGCCATTTGCATTTCTCGTTGACAACATGGCCAATGGAAAACGAAAGAGGCAAGCCTTCACGATTGAAAGGAAAGTGTGTTTGATTAGTTTAATAGAAAGAGCTCGAAGTGAAGCTAACGTCGCTTGCGAACATAGACATCTGTTTCCACAATTTGGGAAAATCGTGATAGCTTCATCCGTGTTTACGAGAACATATCACAAAACAAGAAACTTCCTAGGTCTGTCGAGATGACATCGACGAAGCCTTGCTAAAGTATAAAGTAGTTCAAGGTCCAAAGAAGTGCGGACATCGCGAATCTTGAAACTGAAGCTAGTGTAGTATGACCAATGTAAATTGGAGTCGTAACGTTATATAGCATCAATGTTGGAAACAGGAAAACGGAGTGCCAATAAAGGCAACCTCGGTTATAACGAACCTCGGTTATAACGATGGTTTTTACCTGGTCCCTTCGATGACGTTATAACCGAGTTCGACTGTACTTCCCTTGACTGTATCTCTCCGAAATCCCCCTGTTACGGCGGCTCGATGGGGAAAATGATGTGTGTACTGAAATACGCTTTTAAAAAAGTTATTCATCTGTTTTTTCACACTCCCAAGGGAAGAAAATTTTTATTTTCACACAGAAAATTCAGTGCCTCAGTTCGATGCATTTTTCTCGCGAAAAA